TCCCAGAGAGATGTCCATTTTGGTGGTGCTGCTGGACGGGATTGGGAACCGCCTTCAAGTGGCCATCTTGGTTTGCGCGCTCCTTGAGCGCCTGCACATTCTTTGCGGGCGCAACTGCGGGAAACTTGGGTTCGGCCGACACGGGGCGGGGTGTCAGATCGTTGTCAATGGTGGTGTCTGGCTGCTGTGCGTTGTCGAGGGGCAGAGTGAGTTTGCCCATTACAGATCGGGCAAAGGTAGAATGGGAGCTGAAGCGGCGGCGTGGCGGAGAAAAAGGTGGTGAAGAAGAGGCGGAAGTGCGGCGGGGATGGGAATGGTGCTTGTGACGAGCAAGCTCGGTGACCATCGGCGTCCGAAGAGCATCCATGCCTGGCGTCATGCCAAGGCGACGAAGCTGTTATTGTGCGCTGCTGTGTCAAGCTAGAGTGAGAGTAGCCTCGCCACTGCGCTAAGGCCAGTCGCTGGCTGGGGGATGAGTCGCAGCAGTGGAGAAGGGAGTGGGTTGAGGTTGGGGAAATATACGTAGTGGTTGCACACAGGCTTTGTGCAACCACGGACACTCTGGTCAGGTCTTTCTTGTCGCGCGCGTTGTGCAAAGGTAACAAGCGGGCAGGGACAGCTGACTTTATCAGCAGGACCGGAGGCCGATACATATATCCATACGTGTGAATTAAATATGACCGTTCGGAGTCGGACTTTCTGGCTGGTGCTCACCACCATCCACGGTTCCCCGCCAGACCACGTTGCTGAATGGAGCAACGGTCGAGTTTGCGGGAACGCGCAGGAACAGGCTGGCTATTGCATGACGTACGGTCCTATGGAATCTCTTTTTTCCCTTCTTCTTCTTCTTCTTTTCTTTATCTTCTCTCCCCCATACAAGAGAGATTAGGATAAAGGGCAGGCAATCGGTGCACGCGTCCCTTCCCAAGCCACAACGCACCCCGCCTGACGTCGGTGCTGCTGCTGCTGCTGCTTACACCCAGACCCCCACGCTCCGAATCCCGATACCGATGAACAAACGACGACAGGATAGCATTTGCAATTCGATTATAACTGATGGCGACCAGCCTACGTGGGTTCCATTTGGAATTTGGGTTTGCACGAGTATCTGTCCAACGTCAATCCAAGCATTAGGCACATAGCCTGTCGCCCAACAATGCCCCGAACGTGCACACATGGTGAATCCCTTGGCATCCAATATGCATGCATACGTATATAGGTACACGATAGGCACTTCCCCAGATTTCCTGACGTAGTCCTGTGGAGCTTCCGAGATTGATGTCCTTTTTGGTATAGCGTCGTGCTATGATTGATGCGTTTGTTCAGAGCAGGACAGAAGTACGGTACTCTAGTAACAGAACAGCCCAACCTCACTTGGCAAGCTTGAGTGTGAGAACCAGTAGACATATATATGCAGAAATGCTCAGTGCTGTCAAGGCAACGACAACGTTTCCGCTGGTGCGAAACTTCTTGTGGCATAGACCGTCGGCACCGACTTCGGAGAAGAACTGTTTGTTTCCTGTCGACTATCAGCACCCAAAGTGTATAGGCACATGCACGGTTTCGTCACAACACTCACCTTGTTGGCGACGGAACAGGCTGGTGAAGAGGATACCGACTCCATAGACTGCAAACAGCGCGCCAATCGAGTAGAACTCAGCGGTGAAGATCTTGAGCACAACGAGTGCAAACGAGAACTGGCCGATTGCCGTGCGCATATAGGCGCCCTCAAACGTGCGCTGGGCCGCCCGAATCTCAACCAGTTCATCGCTTGTCAGTACAACGGAGCGGGCGCGATGCAGATGCAGCCGGTATCTGTCTGCTGCGTGACGGCTCTGGTCCACGGTCAGTCACGGCGGTTTGGCAGTCGGCCTGTTTGTCCTCACTTCGAACATGGCGGGTGACGCAGAGCACACAGCACAGAGAATATGGATATGACCGCTCGTAGTGTTCGTCCACGGTGAGGGCAGAGAGCAAGCCTTTGGTGATGGGTGACGTAGCGGGGTTCTGGGCCTGTTCACCGAGGTTACGCTGCGCGGCGCGTCCTGTTAGACTTCCCGACGAGACGCGTTACCACGTCGTTGGTTGACTAGAACGAAGATTTCTGTCGGTCTTTGATGACTCTCGCCAGAGAAGCTTGTTTGCAATGCAGGTGTTTCTTTTTGCGTGTTGTATCCGGCAGACTGGGTAGCGGCTTGTGATGGAGTGCCCACCACCTGTGAAGCAACTGCTGCTGCTGCTGCAGGGTCCCCGCAGTCCTGGGCTTGTCACTCCCGCAACTGGCAGACACAGCAGTGTGCCGGCCTGCCAGTCGCTATACTTCGTGCCCACAAAAGCGCACTCTGCAATTCACTGCGACACTGAGATAGCGCTGCATGCTCCGTCTGGCCGGGTTATCTCTTATCCGGCGCGTCGCTGCTCTCTCTGCTCACGCCAGCGCATGGTAACCCTCCCCTCTCGCCCACGCCACGGCCTCGATATACATGGCCGTTTGCTATTACAATCGTAAGCTAATCTTGGTATCTTAGGGATACCGAAGCCTGTCACTACGGTCTCGCGAGCTCCGTGCGCACAGTTAAGACCCCGACACTGCCCTGCCCTCTCCAGCGCCTGTATTCCACTTGGGAAGATTACCCCGATACCATACTCACAGAGGAGGGATCAATGGCAGGCAACCAGTCTGCCACATCAGCGACATCGAGTGCGAAACGTAGAAGCGGCCCCCTCAAATTCTACGCCGTCAAAGCTGGGAGAGTGCCAGGCGTCTACCAGAACTGGGAGGACGTGCGCCAGCAGACCGAAGGCTTCAATAACCACGAGGGTGTGTAGCGTCAATTCACGTGCCAGGCTTGTACTGATGCTTAGTTAGTGCAGTCATTCTCCTCATATACCGACGCAGAAGCATTCGTCAAAGGGACCCTCGTCAAGCGACCCAAGCCCCCGAAACCAAAGTTTTACGGAGTAGCAGTCGGACGCGTGCCCGGTGTCTACATAGATTGGCCAACTGTAGAGTCGCATACAAAAGGATTCAAAGGTGCAAAGCATCAAGGATTTGCCACACGCGAAGAAGCCCAGGCTTTTGTCGATCGAGCTAGAAAAGGTTCCAGTGCGCCCATAAGCTTACAGGGTCACTTATCTGCCGCCTCATCCGTACCGGTGGGCAAGATGGAACCGAGTGCTGAACATGCGTCCAAGCGACAGAAACGGGAGCACGCGCCGTCTGCAACAACTTTGACCAACGGAGATCATAAGACCGAACCGGGCATGGGGCCTCTTCCGCCTGGCGCAGTAGATGGCTTCGACCCGACGATAAAACTAGATGAGACTGCGGGCAACATCAGAGCAAAGACTGCAAACGAACTCACTGCAACCAAAAAACACCCAACGGGAAACTTCAAGGGCCCCTTGGTAGTACATACAGACGGAGGCTCTAGAGGAAATGGCAAAGTAGGCGCTAGAGCAGGCGTGGGTGTCTACTTTGGCCCCAGAGATCCCAGGTTCGTGTGTAGTGGTGCCATGCAATAAGCAACATCTGACCGTGACTGCAGGAACGTTGGAGAACCTCTAAGGGGAGAACGACAAACCAACCAGCGAGCTGAGCTTGTCGCTATAGCCCGGGCACTCGACCATGTGCCAATTGACCGTGATGTCGAGATTCGGACAGATTCATACTACTCTATCCGTTGTCTGCGCGAGTGGTTCCAGAACTGGGAGACCAAGGGCTGGAGAAACGCAGCTGGCAAGAGCGTGGAGAATAAGGAACTCATCCAACCAATACTTGCGAGGATACGAGAGCGTCTGACATGCAAGGGCAAGACAACATTCGTCTGGGTCAAAGGACACAGCACTGATATAGGTAACATCGCAGCCGACGCCTTGGCAAATGAGGGCATGGACAAATGGACTCCGGAACTGACTTCAGGAACTCCGTTTGACATGTCGGAAACACTCAGAACAAAGTACACTTTACCATCACTCACCAAGCCCAAGCAAGAAGACGACGACGAGTTTGGGGAGGATCCATTTAAGGATTATTTTGACGGCTTAGAAGCGGAGAGGATGGCGAATGAATTGGTAGAGGATGCGGATTCCAGAGCTTCTACGCATTAGTGGGTCGATGCAGAAGAGTATTGAGGGAAAGATGGGTGGACCACGTGAACCTGGGTTGAGAATATGAAATGTCGTTTTCTCAAACAACCAGTTACGCAGATTGCTATATGCTGTGGCAACGGGAATCCAGAGCTTAAAGTAGGCTATGATACATGATAATTGTAAAAAAAAAACAGAACAAATACAACCAAGATTACTGGTGTATGTGCCAGTCTCTCATCTTCTGTTCAAGCCAAAAAGCCTTTTAGACTCAGGACAGGATTCTGGCGCCACGGACAAAACCCTGATATCGAATGCTGTCCCAAAACTGTCATCAAAGGCTCTGAGCACCTAGTCAACGGCAACTAATCGCATTCCCTTCTGCGCACATGTAATATGTTTCTAGCACATGCATAAGCACTCTAAGTACTCTGCACCAATCACGAGAAAGATTCATAATGCAATGTTCCACCGACACACCGCCTGGTATCGTCGTAATTGCATTACATTGTCAAACTTCCCAGAGTCGTCGCAAAACATTGTCGGCCGCAAATCAGACCATGCTTGCAACCATTGCGTTATCACCGCGTAAGCACCGAGTACCAATCTCTGAGCATATCCTCACTACCGTGACCCTTCGCTAGTGAGAACCAAGTCAGCAATCTTCTACATTGAGCTATGCCCAGATGAGACGCTGATTGCAGCGTATCTTTTCACATTCCAAATACCTCGAACGTTGATGGCAGCTTGCACGCTCCAGCACTACACCATTGCCTATGTGAGCGTCTGGACACATTTGAAGTGACTATACAACTCTATCACTTTATATCAAATAGCTCGAACTCGAATATACGACGTCCTCGCTCATCGATACGCCAATGGACGTCCCCCTAGTGCCTTGGTAGTAAGCAATGCCGCCCGCCCCACTCGATGCATGCAAGCATACCCCGTACAACGAATCGAGCGTTCATGTAACATATATTGTATTACATATCTATCCCATCTCACTCGTTCCTGCAGAACCCTCACCCAAGTTCCTTCTCAGAATTACCATAACCCTCTCTTTACCCACACACGAAAACCCACACCCCCTCACCCCAAACTGCGCAACCCGTTTCACCCCACACCGCTCGGTGCCCGCGACCATCCAACCCAGCATACCACGACCAACCCACCACATCCACCGGATCCCGCATGTCACGACCTTGGTTCAAAAAAGCCAATCTGAAATAACCCCGCAAAAAAAAAGAGAGATCCACATACAAAAAAAATGCTCCATCTCCTCCGCCCACAAAGCTATGCCTTCCTCCCACGCCTCCACCACCACCGTCACCGCCACCAATCCACACCAACACCCCCCATCACCCCACCGCCCCAAATGTCCCTCTTAGCCAAAACCCTCACTTACGTCCTCGCCTGCATAACACTCTCCAGCCTCCTCATAGCCCTCTCTTCCCTCTCATCTTTCTACACCACACTCTTCACTTGCACCGCACCGCAGCAACTCCACATGCTCTTCCACGCGAGCGTCGTCGGCGCCACGGTCCTCATGGCGACGCTGGTCGCTGATGATGTCGCTGCCAAGTTGCTGGGACTGCACGGGGTACGGTATCGCAGCGGAGCGGCGGCGGATGCGGTGTTGATGTGCTTGTTTTGGGTGAATGTGGGGGTTGGGGGAGGGGCTTGGGGGCTGTTGGTTGTGAAGGGGTGGGCTGAGAGGGGGATTTTGAATTCGATTATCGGGGTTTGAAGACGACTTTTTTTTAATCATGATGAGGATTTGGGATATTTTGGGCGAAGGCTTTCGAGGAGATGGGGGGCATCATGTGGAGTCTGGGGTATTAGGGAAGAAGAGATGGATGTGGGCACATGAGTGATTGGCACCATGACCTTCTCGTCCCCGTCGAGTTGGCTTAATGCATCGGTAGGGGATGCAGATCCGGCTTGAAAGACTTTGGAAGCTACGCATTTGATAATGGCATTTGCGGGTTCGGCCTAAGCAGAGCTATTGTTGGTCTTTTTAAACTGCAGTCTAGCCATTTTACGCAAAACATGTCAGCCGAAAGAATAGCTCGGAATGAAGCTATATATGATTGCTTTACCCAGACACGATGAAGACGATATGTCAAAAAAAATCACATGTATTTCAGTTCAAGGTAAAATGAATGTGATGTTTCTCTAAACCAGTGCTAGCAAAAGTTTATCTTCATCGTACCTTGCAGATTAAGTGCAGCGTACATCCTCGTTCCGACCCGAAAAAATTCCCCGCACCGCACCCCACTCTGCTCCACTCCACCGCATAACAAAAAAAAGCAAAAAGAAACTGATAAATTCATTGCCAGCAGCCGGAATTGAACGCTATGAGGGTGGTACAAAGTGAGTGCAGAGCCGAGAAGAGATGGGATGAAGGAAGATCAGATTTAATTATGACTAGGTAGCTTACGACAAAGCACTACTTAAAAGCTCCTGACCTATAGACCAATATCATGGCTGCGATGAATAACAATGCTAGTAGGCACTCCTGATAGACGGATGATATCGTGAAAGAGGGCAGCGTGAGTTCATGTTTCTTAGGAAGATTAGATTCGACTGGGTTGAGTGCGACTGGGTTGACTGGGTTTAGAGAAGCAGACTCTCGTAACAAGAGAAAATGGTTTTTAACGGCTTCCTCATAGGCAAGGGTAGGTGTGGGCAACATGAGCTTGAATCTACAAGCTTTTGAGCCTACGGTGATTGTGGTTGAAGGGGTAGTTATGCGGAATGGAGAATTTGATGTAGTAAGTAGAATAATAGACGCCGCTGACGAGAGGTGTATGCGTTCCGAACTGGTATTGTTGAGGTATAGAGCATGGTCATTGGAGTCAAAATAAAGGGCGAAATGATGCTTAGCAATCCCATCCAGATGTGGTAACTGGTAATCACTGGCTCGTGAGGCACCGAATGTAAAGGAGCGGCGTCCTGCGATAGCATTGAAGGATAGTCTAATAATGCGGTGTCTGATAGCTGGTGTGACATCAATATCATCGTGACCGATGATATACGGAAGGTTTCGCCGAACTGTTGTCGTAGCGGCTGCAGTTTTTGATAGCGGGATAAGAAGAGCGAATGCTTGCCCAAGAGGACACGCTGAAGCCATGTTGACGATGAAGAAGTGCTAGAGCAAGTTTATATAGCGTACCAAAACATATGTCGCAAACAAAGGACAAAGTTTAATAGCTCAAAAAAGAATAAGAGGTCTCAGACAAAGTTTCTTTAGCTCTATCTACCTCTATGAAACCCTTTTAGTCGCGTTCAGGTGAAGTGCGCGCTAAACGGATACCTACTCGAGAAGGCGCCACTGACGGGCTCGTACCAATTGCTATGCCGACCTCTGGGTGTGCAGGGCGCGGGAGCAAGTCTAAAAGATTACCTGAAGTCAGACTGGCTGGGCTATGGCAAACGTTGAGGACAGCCTCATATAGGCTTTCAAGGGAGCTATGACTGAATCTTTTGAATCGGAGTACTTGCGGGTTCGTTGACTGCTTATCCCACAGATAAGAGGCCTGGGCCAATCTCAGCTCTGCATCTGGGCCTTTTCTCCGGCGTGGTGGCGGACCGATTATTGGTGCCATGTCGGCCACACTGCCAAAGTAAAGTGGGTTTGTCCGTAGCATGATGAATGACGTGTGAGGTGTCATAAAAAGCGGATAACGGGCATCCGAAGCGGCTTGAATGCAATACACGGGGGTTGGATGCGGCGGAGGGTTGACTTGAAAGTCACAGGCGAGATATCGTAATCGATGGGGGCTTTGGAAGTAGGTGTCCTGTCCACGCTTGCTCCAAGTGAATCGCATGAAGATGAGGGACGGTATGCTCGCTCTTAATACTAGTTAGCGGCGGCTTCAAAAAGACTATGGTGTACGACAATACCCAATGCTATCAGACAGAGGTCCACGGCTCTCAGGGTCATAAGTCTGTCTACTCCAGCTATTGCGCGTAGGTAAAAAGAAGAAGAACCCCTGTCCGCGCGAAACAGCGATATCATTAAGCGCCATTGCATCAATCTCATTGGGTGGGAGCCAGCGGTCGTTTGTTGAGTCGTGGGTTTTATCGTATAGCTTTTGCGCTAGGTAGTCAGAGAGGGAATCATGTAGAAAGAGGCTTTGGTTGGCAGGGAAATCGCGAAGTTTTGGCGTGGGCTTTGAGCGTGGGGTAGGGCGGCCCTTGCGTTTAGGGGGTTCTGATTCCTCCATAGATAACAGTATCCGAACGAAAATGTATGCAAGAGAGTAGATAAAGGGTAGAAGATTGAAGATGGTGCTAAAGAAAGAGGGGATCTGTCACGTAGGACAAAGGATCTGTGCGCTCACCACCAAGCTACCTGGGCGTGGCGATTGTTTGTCTACCGCCTCGCACCTCTCATCACTACATCCAGGCCATTCATAACCAAGTCATGGCCGAGAATGACGAAGTTTCCCTGATGAAGCTATATCAAGACTTGATTAGTAGTCCACCAGGTGCTACTTGGAGTACAAAGCTTCAGAACTACTGCGAGATCTTCTGGACTAGAGTTGAGCGCGAACCGATCCCTCCTCCCGATCTTGTCGACGAGTTTATCAAGCTACTACGAAATGATGACAATCTCCTCCTTGCTCGACTAGTCATCCCGGATCTTCGAATAGCCATCGAGCCCCCTGACAACCCCATTAAACTCAAGATCCTCGGCCACATCGACCCGAATCGCTCGTCAATCCGGCTACTCGGTGCCCGTACTCAGCAGTACGACACCGAAGAACACACCCATTTTCTTGAAGAACGGCAGCTGCTACTAGAGGCAGAGCTGTATCGGGCGAGTCTCTTACTATACGGCCACAGCAATATAAACGAAGCGCAGAAAAAGAGGCTGCAGGAGTGGCTTGCAGCCTATCCAGCCGAGTCAACGGTTGATCTTCCTTCGTTGAGGTAGTAGCCCACCGCTGCGCTCCAGCGAGGATTGGCAAGAAGGAAAGATGCGATTGGCGGGAAAAGTGGATGTGCACACAAGAAGGGATAGGAAAGTTTTCTATTTGTACAAGACGGTATATTCGTTAAATTCACAAACTGATCCTTACTCATCTTCTTCGTCGGGTGATTCAATATATTCCACCTGATTGACGCTCATTTGCAAGTGTTGTTCGATGAGGCTCTGGTGAAGCTCGACTAGTGTGCTTTGATAATCGCCCGGTGAGCGTCCTATGTTGGACCTGCTTGGATGCATAAAAGCATTAGTCCCAGTGAACTGATCAAGCAGGAGCCATAAATTTCCCCATGAATCATCATTCTCGAAGAGAAGTGGCCCACGCGCGCCAATCGCGTAATCTGCAGGATTAAGGTCCGTATGAAGGAGTTCAGCAAGTAGAGGAACGCGTCTATCGAAATCACCTTCATGGTGATTCAAGGTGTCATTCAAGTCGAAAACAGCTCGTTGCGAACTAGTGGGGCTGATATCATTAGTTGGCACAACTAGAACTGGACTGTTAAGACGACGTCCCTCTAATCCTAATACGTCAAAAATAAGCAAGCGATTCTGTTGGCATGAATTAACTCGACGGAAGTTGGCGGTCGAGAGGCTTGGTCCACGAGATGTCTGTTCTTTGGTACCCGTAAAGGTGTGGAATGGAACAGTTGGTGTCAGTGGAGGCAGTTCAGTGATTGTGCAAGGTGGGTGACCGTGAGTACGGAAAGCATATTGCTCCTGTTCTGTCCATCGATATCGACAATACGCAAAATCCCCCATACTATGGCCGCGTGAGAGAACAATAAGGAGTCCAGAAAGATGAGACGCGCATTGAGCCATGAGGTTGTAGAATATCTTGCCATGGAACCATGACAAATCGCGCGAGCTATTGGGGGATGACCGAGGTACTGGCATCGGCATCGTGTCATCGCGACCTGACGGTCGAGCAGGACGGTGACCAGATTTTCGTGGTTGCGGGTTGGATTGAATGATGTTGTAGACACGCTCAACCCATCTACCAGTTGTATCTTGTTCGATCCAGTATTTCTCCCAAGCGGGGTTGCCAAAGTCACCCTCCGTAGCTTTTGTCTCGTAAAACTCGTCGGGAAGTTCGTGCTCTGGGAGGAAAAAGAACTGGCGCCACGACCTTTTTGCGAAGTCCGTGTAGTCAAACTGATAGAAGAGGAAGTCGAACCTGTATATAACAAATGTAAGCACAGGTCTCCTTGAAGAAGAGAGACGTATACCGATCATGGTGGGTAAAGTAATAATTGATATTATCTTTATCCCTGTTGCGGGCAATTGACACCTTGGTAAGTGGACTCGCTGGAGACCGGTAACGCCCATCAATTTTGTGTTGCACGAATACTTGGCGGTGGGTAGTATGCGCTCCAGTACTAGGAACGAGTAGCTTGAAATCTGCCAAGCGAGGCTGGTGCTCAACGAAACCTAGATGCATTGGTATCGCGTTCTTAGCACGCCTGTTTGCATTCCGGATACATCTCCAAATTTCTATAATGCTGAGAAATGATGTGAAATGCTGGGAATCTTCTCTTGGCATCATACCATCATTCCCGTGCTCAAGGTATGGCGTCCAACCAGTAAACCGAACACGCGTCCAGGGGTTGACATAGTCGCCAGAGCCACGTGCACAGTGGCATATGTTCTGAAGAGCTTCCGGAAGTAAGGCGATGGGCATCCGATATGGGGAGTTGCACGGACTCAGGGCACCATATGCTGATGGTGGGAGGGGCGACTTGCGAGAAAAATTGACAGCGACATCGCGGCCTCTTTCGTTTTCAGGGCATTCATTTCCACCAAAGCGGTTGGGGATGAGCTCTACGTAGCCTGGATTGGCAGCACAGACGCAGATGTAGAAGGATACTCGTGCGCGCTGTGACATAGTGGTGATGTATACTTGATCCCCAGCTTTGTGAGATACCTTACTCTTGACATCAAATAACACCAGAATTCGAGAGCGGAACTGGGTAGAGCCGCCTTTCATCCGCACATCTTCGTTGAGCTGCCAAAAGCGTTCGGTGAAGTTGCCTGGTGGAGGTGTGACGCCCTCTGTGGCATAGAGAGCGCCATCTGCAAGAGCAAACTCGGCGGAGCGAATAACAAGTGGACAGTTAAGTAGAGAAGAAAAAATATCGGCTTCGAAATTTGCACCGCGCCGTGCTGTGATAAAAGCATGTAGCCTTGCAAGCGGGGTTTGGCTGTATGAAGCCATCTTTAGTTTGAAGGGATGCTATTCAACCGAACCGGTCATTTGCAGGCGTAGCCTAGCAATTAGTTCAGATTTGCTGTAATATTCAGCGTGGTGGTTGATGGAATGAACGTGTGCAACGGATCCAACAAGTACTTGCGTCTTGATATTCTTGTGGTTGCAGTGTTTAGGGGCCAAAGGTAATATAAAATGCGACAATCAGTTAGATTATTGAATTGACACGGCTACAAACAGTGTGTGCCTACCCAGGGTCCGGTTAATGTTGTGATACCGTATGCAATGCTGACAAGTGTTCTAAGCACGTTCAGTATTTCCGCCGCCTGGGACAGACATGCCTACAGTGGAGTAGATTTTCCTAGCTCTAAGCAAGATTCTTATCCCAGACATAAAGGAATATACAGCGAACCAATGACCTCTAACGTAGCTCTACAGAACTGACTGACCATTGCCTCATACTCTCGCACTGTCGCAAGCCTCCGAGCTTCTTGCCACGTACAAACAACCACTCGTATTCGCTGCAACTCAAACTGGAACTTTTTCCACTTCATACCCTGGTTATCAATAACTATTTGCAGTGTGCCAATGGATGCGATCGCTTCTGCGAGTTCTGTAATACGGCTTTTGTATGCTTCAATCTGTTGTTCTGGCCGTTGAAGAATTGGCGATGCTTTTCTAGGATTAGTAGCTTCCGAAACGTATGCAGAGCTGGAAGAAATTTGGTCCTTGTGATGCTGACGAGTGGCATTAAGGGCACGGTTGGTATCCACCTTTGCATCATCTAGCAACCTGATCGTGAGATTAACCCTTCTTTCTAACTCATCGAAGGCATTAAGTAAGAACAAGAGCGCATCTGTTCTCCGTCGACGTGGGCTGGCTTTCTGAACGGATCGAAAGGCGTTCGAGTAAATGTAAAAGGCAGACTGGTACTCTGCCTCAGCCGCGAGTGCAGTCGAAGTGTTCGCGGTTCGAACCATATCCACAACGTCTAGTTCAAGAACGCGTAAACGAATATCAGTGACAAGTTTGGTGTAAGTATCCAGGTGATTTGTCTTCCATCCATCGGGAAATATAGGCAGCCCGGGTTGCCAGTCTAAATGCAACGGCCAAGATTGCATAAAGGTCAAGATCAGAGTCCCCGTTACGAGGAGAGCGACAAGGATATTTTTGCGACGAGCGAATGAAGCATAAAATCCCTGTCTTTGAACAGGAACATTTTGGAGATTGGCGGCAGCGGACAGGATGAGTTTTCGTGGCTGGGAAATTTCGGCTTGTACGGGATACCGAAAAACAGGACGATCCGCAGCTAACGGAGCAGCCCGGATAGAGGCATACTCAGGTGAACCGGGCTCATTCTTCACCTCCAGATTGCTACTAAGAGTGTGCCGCTGCGGCTGTAGCTGTTGGTAATAACGAGGAGGCCCATCGCCAAAAGTTTTCGCGCTCACGTTGGTATGACAATGGGATACAGGGAGTGGCAGTTTTGAAGTATCCAGACCGCCCTCTAATGCTTCCGCGACTTGTAATCTTCGTCGTATCTCGTCCGGGTGGGGCGCAGGCATTGTGCAACACCAAAGCGGTGAAAACTGAAGGCGTTATGAAACCAGAGAACAACTCAGAAATCAAGGTATGTTTAATTACACGAAAAGAGATCTGTTTTTATCGATAATTCGACCATGCAATATGAATATAGATACAAGACGTCAAAGATCTGCTATTTTAGCATCTGCTTGAGACAATTTGTCAGGACCTATTTCAACCCCCCCCCCCCCCCCTAACTTGCGACACCGAGCAGAGACATGGCGCAGAACAGCAAAGCACAATGGGTGCCCTCTCCCGTGCGGCCCGGATGGATAGACACAGAACCGGAACCCCTTGCAGAGACACTCCAAGCAGAAGCGACAAAGCTCAGAAACAAACTCCAGGCGCTTGAGACAAGACACCAACTTCTTTGCAACATCCTAGTGGATTTTGTGAAAGATGCAGAAATTTATGGCCTAAATGATGCCTCAGGCTTGCCTCTTGTTCAAAATCCAGAGGAGATTGATTCATTGAAGAGTCTGCAGAGATGGATATCCCAATGGAGGGATGCGATTGCTGTCTTTATCGATGCACCGCGTGGCGACAACCACGTCCCAGAAACCGAGAGCACTGCCCCGACCCCCTTCGAGTTTCCCAGCTCCACCTAAGGTACACCCAACGAAATCCTGGGCATTTGCATAAACAGAGACAATTTTGACACGTGTAAGTCGCCACATACGCTGTAAGTGGGTCAGCAACTAACGCACACATGTCGCGATTCTAGTTCAGCCACGGCAAACTGCAATCGCTATTGATGCTGTGAGCATCATAGAAGAGAGCATAACACGTATGAAAACAAACATCCTAGAAGAGGTCCCAGTATCAGGGTAGTAGTCTCTGAATAGTTGTTGTACTTCAATTGATTCATAGCATCCATAGTGATTTTTTGGTGCATCTATAACTGCAGTTCAGTGGATTACAGGGGGTTTCAGGATGGCTTCTTCACAATACGTCAATTGCTTTGTTCAACGGATGGCTGCGTACGGCGCGAAAACTACAGGAGGGTGGCGAAATCCCTTGTATCCTTAGCTGTGTTCCGTATTTGAAGACAATTCTCAGCTTGGAGTTACATGTACTGCGGATCACACTCTCTCTTTCATTTTCAGTATCCATCCTCTCGTATCCAACACCCCATCTCTATCCTTCTCCAGCCTAATCCAACTTTGTACGATTCACATAAACTCCATTAGGTCCCGACACAATGGCGCGTACTATCACAATCGCTGTCTTCACAACAGCAGCCTTCCTTGTTCTTACACTCGCCCTGGGTTGCACCTTGAACAACATCATACCCTACCTAGATGAGACGCTCGACATGTCTGAGTCGACAATGGCGTGGTTCGACTACTTTCCCGCGACGGATATCTGTGGAGTCGATACTATGGCTATGATGTGGCCTACGACGGTGTTTAGCCTGGCAAGTGCTTTCATCGATTCCTCCTGCAAGCACAACTAGGCTCATTATACATCAGAGATCTATTAGCTTGCCCAATTCCGCAAACGCACTATCCGCTTCCCTCCTCGAGAAAACTCCTGCCATCATGTCAAGTATGGCAGGGTTTGTGCGCCAAGTCTGTTCGATTATGATTGCAAGCTTCGAGATTGGTCAACATATATTCGATACAGCGATTGCGCTACGGGCCCATCTACACCTTCTCTGCGAACCTCCAGTTGCCGATTCCCTATTTGCTACATTGATATTGGTGGCCACTTCCGCTATACTTCCATTGCTACAATCCCTCTTCTGGATGATAGGCTACCCTATCATGAAGATAGCTGTTCTTTTTGCGCTTGTCGCACGGAAGATATTCGTAAGTTTAAAGTAGGCGATTGTAACACAATGATATAACTAACATGAATGATAGGGTATGTTTCGCTGCATATTATGCCATCTCGCTAACATATGATACTTAGGTGGAAGAGCATCATTCTTATTTTTCGCCGCCTATATTGTACTCGCTAGCATAGTTGTATACTTTTGGGGTTCTTTGACCGGATGATTTGTCTACTCTTCCCCATCCTAGTCTCTTCTTCGAAAGATCTACCCTCCATCAACACATGTGGCAAAAAAGAGATCCATCTTGTATTAGTCACGATTTCCCCTCTCTTCCCTTCCCTTCCCTTCCCTTCCTTTGCCACTATCATTGCCTCTTCCGAGATTTTCAACACCTCAAAACGCCTCAACATAGATAAATTAGAACTCTATCAATGTAATTTTCTTTCTATTTTGATATCATCTGAATATTACTCGATATAAGTTCTATTAGAATATAAGAATGGAATGTGAAACAGGATATTGTAGCAAGGATGACGAGCATAAATGATCGATCATGAGCAGTGACTAATTTCGCTGCCTATAGCCCATTGAAAGACTCCACTGTTAGCTCAATAATCTATGCCTAAGATTATTTAACTGACCCAATGCAATAATCATACATGTCTACTCGTATTGTATCTGATAGGATGCGATTGTCTATTGATATCAGATACCGAATGTACATATTCATATCATACATGCTACGATAAAGGTGAATGCTTTTAGACAGGAGACTTCAAGCTCTCTTAGTTGCCCGATCACGTCTCTTTTCCAGCCGCTTTTCCAAGGTAATGTGGATTTCGAAGCAGATAATAAGTCTATGATACGCGCTCTTCCCGAGAGCAATAAACGGAGTGTGAAAGAAGATGATGCAATCAACACAAATGAAGTATAACATAATCCATAGTGTGTCACAGGTCGACATGGAGGCCAGGCTACACGAGTGCTTCAAGCAGCAAGCAGCGAAGCTGAGTCGTTGCGCATAAGCATTACAGCATGCCATAATAGCTAATGATCTTCTAGAATCCTGCAATACCAATATCATCATTCTGTTGATAGATCTGCAGTTCCAGCAGATCGTCGTGTTCACTATAGTAAGATGCTCGTGCGTTCGATGGCGATGAGGCAAACCCGCATCATATAAGGCACACAAACGGACCTACATATAGGCGGGAGTGTAGAGGAATTTTCGAGCATCATCCATGGTCTACTTCCAAGCACGATACAGGATCGACAAATTTCCGTTCTCACACTACAACTATATTTGTTCGTCCTAGCCGCTCATCTAACTCCCCAACCATCGACTTTGCAATGTTGAGTATTCAACCGCGGTGCTTACAAGCAATCACCCTATATGGGGTCGTTTGGTACTTCCGCAATACTTCTCGTTCACAAGATGTCGCTTTAGCCATCTCGAATGGTCTTAACCTTAGCGAAGAAATCGCGTCAGGCGTGTTGGAGCGTGCGGAACGACTCGCTGCCACCAGAGGCGCCAGAATACTCATCACAAACCTGAGCAAATCATTTGTTATGACTAGCGGCATAGCTTCAGGCGCTATTCGCAATTTCTTCTACGCTCAGGAGGTCATGTGGATGCAGATGGATTTACTCCCATGTTACATCAAACTTCGCTTCTTCGGGCCTGGTTACGATCAGCTGTTATCTGATGAGGGGCTGCAAGCTACTCCCAGCATCTCAAACGAGGGTAAGTCATCCGATAGAATACCTTTGATTGTAGGACCGGCATGCTGCTCTCCGACAACATGAAGGTCAAAGAGGCGGATATGATGGACATTTCAGAATTGGCATCGACGGCAAACACTTCAGACTCCACAGCCTTCACCCTAGAACAAATCGCTAACTTTAGCACGATGACAGTTACTCAAAAGTCCAGGAACACGACAAATTCTCCCGTCATGACCTCGGTCGCAGACCAGACTCTGGCGCAGAATTACTCCCTTGTAGGCCCTGAAGCAACTACCATGGAAGGCGCGACCCAGAACGAACATCAGAAAGGCACTGAACATACTTCAAGGTTAGCGACTGATCCATCGATTTGCAAGAATGGTAACGGAGGGGTGGATTGTGACGACGAAAAGACGGTGTCGCAGAAATCACAAAAAGTCGGCAAGCGAGATGAAAGGAGCGTTCAACATTGTCCAGGGGTAACCAGTGACGGCAACAAATGTAGCCGTTGGAGGTTCATGATAGCAGAGCGCAGCACAGAGACATGGTTTTGCTCCCAAGCTCACCGCAAACAGTGGGATGAAGGTGAGATCATCGCCAGGTAGGCACTTTGCGCTTTTGCGGTGCAATTTATGTAACTTTCACATGGAGTAACTTATCTCTTCAACTCAAATATACCCAGTCCATACTGCTGTTGGCTCGGTACGCATCATGTCAAGTATGGTTTTATATAAAAATAGGACTGCGCTACGTCTACAGCTGTGAAACGCCGTTCGAGCCCCATTTCGTTTTCCCATGTCTTCTCTTCGTCATTGTTTTGTAGGCACAGTCGTGTTAGCAATCGTTCTGAACATCCATAATTGCCTTTCCCATGTCAAGGCGCGGTCGAGAACAGCTTTTCGTGCTTTGTGCTTTATTAACATGCGGGATGTATAGAATAGCAGGACGGTGAAGCGGAACATGTTCCGAGAATGCTGTACGCATTGCTTTTGCAAGTTCGCCAGTACGAAACACTCCTTTTTTTGGGTTTTCCGCATACGCGAGGAATTGCTGGTTGAACATGGATCGCTCCTGATTAATAAGCTGACTGATGCTTCCTTTCTCAGTCACGCTTGGATCCTCGGCTCCAGCGAGATCCGCCAACGTGAGCATAGCATAGCCGTTTGCCTTTGGAATCAGAATCTGGCAAACCAAGTGGCTTCGTGAGGAGTTTTGGTTAGTTGCGGTGGGACAGACTTCCCGGCTCTGAACAGTCCAACCTACTAGAGCATTAAAATCCTTTGCTGAAGTGGCTGGATATGCCAGCATGCGCTTTTTGAATGCGTTTATATTCCTTTCCGTGCATTTGATTGACTGAAGTTTAGTTGGTGAAAACTCTATCGGCTTGATAAAGACACCCCGGTCATGGCTATGGACTACTTCTGTTGCGGAGAACAAGACTTCTTTGAGTTTCAAATATCCAAAAAGGACATCCCCGGTAGATCGAGCGATGGAATCAGGAGCTTCAAAGAGTGTGTAGGATTTTCCAGTGCCGGAGTAGCCATCAGCTAAAATACCAAATCTGCCCCCGCGGCGTGCGACGCGCTCAATAGCCTTCTGCAAAAACCTGCAGATATCTTGATTTGTTGTGTGAACGTCAAAAACGTATGGGAATTGATATCGACTGAGGGCCAAGTCGGGGTTAGATGACTCACATGTCTGTACAACGTTTTGTTCTAGCACGGTTATGGTTTGAGACTTATCAAACGTCTTCCCTAAAGTATCAGAAGCTGTAGACTCAATCTCGGTAATCCGCGGTATAGATAGAACTAGTTTTTGGCATGCATTCCAACAAGTCGCAATAGTGTTTGGTGGTGTGCGATATTGATGAGGCGCAGATACATTATTATCAGCATCTGAAGGCAAGCTTCGCTGAACGTCAGAAACTTCTTGGACATCATTCCCAAGCTCATCCGAAAGTTTTTCGATAGCATTCGGCCGTGCATCATTAATAGTACCTGGTGTGAGAGTACAAGCCTGCCCCTCTAGGACGAACAGTGGCGTGGCAACCAGATCTTCTGGTGCTTTATCCTGGGGAAAATCTTGTTCTCGCATATTAACAGATATTGGTGTAGTTTTTCTCAATCCGTAGGCATTTTCAAGCGCTTTTCCCATGAGTTTAGGCTCCGTGCTAGTCCGAATAAAGTTTGCATCCTGATCGTACGCATGCATCCGAGGCGGCAGTTCAACATCTTGCAATACCCGCATCATCCCGGGCCAGGCTTTAGCCTTTCCTGACGGTATTTTATGGCTTGGAAAGCTCGCTAAAGGTCTTGGTTGTGGTGATGTTACTGCGTGATCGGAATCTTGGGCATTTATAGCCAAAACTGCATTGCTAGACTGGGGCTGCTCCAGCTCATGCGTACAGAATCCAGGAGTGTTGGTGGGGTGATCAGCATCTTTCTGAGATGGATGCGCAATAGGGGAGCATGCATGTTGAATCAATCTGGTACTAGTTGCAATCAACGCATGGTGGACATATTTCACGAGAAAACCGGGGGTTCTAATAAACAATTAATTCAAAGCCGATAAAGACTATATATCAAAAGAATATTCAGACCACACACCTCTGGAAGTATCTGTTCGCTATCCCAACGAAAAACTTGCATGCAATCAGATATGGAAGCCAATATCGGATGAATTTGATCCAGGCAATTGTGCGGAGAGAAGGACCAATAATTCCCACAAAGTAGAGGACTGTTTCATCGATGATCAAGGGAGCCAGTAGATACACCAGGCCATATGCCACAGCTTCCCCGATGAGCGACCAAGCTAGACCACCGTAAGGCTCGGTGTTGGTGGGATCAATGAGCGAATTGCTGTATCGCTGACGAATGCGATCCCGCATCTCCTGCCAGGTTTCTATCACATCTCTGGGAGGCCCATGTCTTTGTTCGAGCTGAAAAACTGGGCTATGATTGAGTTGGGAAGCCGCAGCGTCATTCGTTACAGTTGTGTGTGCCTTTGTGGCGGCACGGCTGCAATCTGGCTCGGTAAGGCTGAGCGACTGGGTGTCAGTGACTCGTGCGTTGTTATTCTCCATCAAGAAAGAATTAAAGTATTGCAGTAGTTGCAGTGAAGTTACCCCGAGGGTATAATCGAGAGCGCTAATAGGGCGCTGCTAAAGGCAGGAGGAGGCTGATCGTGATGAGAAAAATATGGGCTACGAGCTATCGGGATATATATCAAGAGTGCGGGTGGTTGAATAAAACTTGATTCAGACGAAAGAAAGAAGCCACTGTTTCATAGATTGGAAAATGAGTCTCATACAAGGTGCTTTGCTCACCAGAGTCATGTTTCAGACATGGGGGCCTTCTGCAACAGTGTCAGCGCTTCTGCCAGCCAGATTGAACCCTCAAATTACGTTATTACCTTGAATGCTTCTCATTATCTAAATACCCGGAAATTCCGACTTGTTACATGATATTTGACGTGCGATCTTCACATCCCAGCAGTTGGACCACGTGATTCAACTGCTGCTTCAAATGGAAACAGATGTACTGGACGCTTTGGAAAGTTTCCAAATGATGCTCAGAGACGAAAAGGTATGCTTCTTAGTGTTTATGTGCATAATACATACTAACAAAAAAGTTCATTGAAGATCTCCAGAAGAATGCGTCTAGTTCGTTGCCTACTGATTGCAAAGCTGTACTAGTAGAGCTTGTGTGCGCCTTCATTCCCGATATTATGGATCACGACCCACCTCGGAAAAAGTCAAAAGCTCGTCACCTTTATAAGAGAGGGTCATGGAGCAGCAGTGTAAAGAAAGTCAACAAAGAGGATCGCAAGAGTCCGTTCATTACTATACTCCGTCTCCAAGAGTTGATCCTGTCGCCAGCCATTCAGACGCACATCGAAAACAACAAGGCTGATGCTCATTCGTTCTTCTACTCTAAGGAGGTTATGAACAACATTCAGAGCTATGATAAGGACTCAACAGGAGAGGCTTTGATACTTCAATATCAGTACACTAAGACTCTTTCTCATAACATGAAGCTAAATAGCGTCCGATGGCACTTTTTAATGCTTATGTGGCACGACATAGTAAAGCTTGCGCGACCAGACTGCACTGGTAATCGAATCAGCCACCTGATGAAGAAGCATCTCTTAGAGCTTATCACACCTGTATACGCTAATAGTTCAGATATGAATGCGGTAGGTATGGAGGTAGTAGCAGACGAGCTGCACACCTGGTGCAGGTATGGAGCGAAACTCAACGTTTTCGTAGAGAACTTTGGGGAGGGTTGTATCTTCTATCTGCAAGGCGTGCTTTCTCCAAACTTGTAGGTTACAATCGCTTGCTATATCACTGCGACTTAACTAATTCATACTGCTCCAGTCTTTCGGATAAGATGACAGCTTCGGGTACCTACTATGACGAGGCCATGACACACCTCCGCGAGACGTTGCATCTTACTCAGATATTAGAGAGTAACCCTTTGATCGTTAGGCTGAGCCAAAATATTCGAAGGCACCTCCTTCGACCCTTTGAAGAATCCAAGATGGCCAGGAATATGTAGATATTCTTGTGGCGTAAGGGTAGGGCTAGCTTTGAGTGTATGTCTGCGTAGCCACTGCTACCTACGAACAAGGCGGAATTCGGATTGTTTTATAAAAGATTCCATGTCATTCCTTGATTCGAGACTAGTAAGCGGGGTGTTGCCATTTTTTCGGAATGTGAATGCGTAAGCTCTTCCAGAGCGATAATACTGTTCCCCGTGACAATCCTCTCTGATCAGTCACCCGCCCTTATGAAGTGAGGCTAATCATAGGTCACGGAGGATTATTTATTGCCAGTATATGTATACTATAAAGTTCGTTTTACCTACTTGCAACCAGAACCGTTTCCCTGACAGCCTAGCAGGACCCAAGCTGTTATATAAGATTATTTACTACAAAAACATTGCAAAGGTTGAAATAGTGACAGAGATAAGGAGCGGCTGGCAGTTGATTCGTAGTCAACTACTGCTGTGCTATTACCAGGAAAATCTGCTCGACCCAATGTTTCATTGCCTTTACTTAGTACATACTGCAAGATGTGACTTTGGTCCAAGTATAAGGCATTCAATTGACTTTACTCTTGCTTTTTAGTACGAATACATGGTGGTGAGGAGCTTCCCAAGACACCGATATGAATCCTGCCATGTCGCGCTCTTAGTTTCCTCATCACTGTCACTTTCAGTCGCCGTTGTGACTGTTCATGGTTTGGCTCACCAGGCGGTCTTCCTGCTAATCAAGACAAACAATAATGCGATGACACTAAGAGACGTTTTTGTCGCGCATTATCGCAAACTTTCCATCTGATTTCGTCATTCACTGCATTAATCAGCTGTTTGGTTACCGCCCTCGTGGAATATTCTACATCGTTCCTGTCGTTTGTGCAGAGTCCTTAAATTCGAGTATGAATTGAAACTTTCCCAACTTCCCGCCTATCATCTTTCTACTGTCATTCAAAACCACAGGGAATTCAACTTTCACAGATGTCGGCATCAGAGCAGCCACTTGCGAATGCACCAGATCGTACTGGATACAAAATTTGCGGAGAATGCAAAATGCGGTATGTGACGCCTGGAGATGTGTATCCAAAAGGTAAACGAAAAGGCGAACAACAAGATCGCTGCCTTATTTGTAGGCGCCTTAAGACTAAGAAGGAATTCCCACAAGACCTGGTCTTATCAAAGCACGAGAGGCTGAGCCAGAAGAGTACTTTAAAGTCCCCAGATGTTGTAGAGCAATGGTTAGCACGCCTCACGTCTGAGCAAGAGAGTGTGCTATTTCACACTAAAAGCATAATTGGAAAGCTCCCTCAGGGTACAAGAAGGCCTGACATTACTCGCGCAACACACCATATACATTGGGATGATGTTGAAGAAAGACTGCGGGATATTTACTCGTTGGAACGACTTTTCAATGGCTTTGAGTCACTGATGGGATGTTATGAATCTGAGGTGAACACTGTTCATCCTATCGGCCTGATTGCTGTATCTCTCAACAACTGCGCGATCCGCAGCGAACAACCTTGTAAGTCCTGAAGTCATTCAACATCATAAATACTGAATCGAACAGTCAAATTCAGTTGGATGCAAGACAAAGAGTTCAAAGATTCAGCTGTTCCTGGGAAGAGCGGAGCGAAATCTGCACTCATCATTGCACTGGAGGCGTGGCTGCCTTCTGAGAAGGCGTGGTGGAACACCGCCACACCGTCACAACGCTTGAAGAAGTGTTCATTGTGGGAGATCAATATACAGCCAAGGTAAGTAATAATTGATCCAATCATGACTATATTATTATCTAAGTGTCATTTATAGTGCAAGCACTATGTTGATTCCGTACACGGAGATGGATTCATGCACATTTGATCTCACTAGAAAGACGGCTAACCTCGTGCCTCACCATCTTCATGAGTGCCTCTTATGGGCACGGAAAACCTATAAAGGCCATCGCATTGAGGAACCTGGCCAACTGCTTCTCCCTCAAGGCATTCCTTATGCGCCCCAAATCCAGTGCAAGGCGAGTGCCGATTTGCTGACTGTTCTTGCCCATGCGTTCCATCGCCACGATAAAATAGAATGGAGAATCTTGTATGATTCCATTCTATCTGAGATGCACAAGATAAAAGATGCAGGAAATGCGCAGCGAGCGAAGTTCAAAGAGCTAGTAGAGGAAGAACGCGCCAGGTCATGCAACGCGCTAAAGGACAATGAAAGCGCTTCGGAACAGAGATCCAGAGAAGATGTGATGATATCGTCGGAAGTGGGAAGCAAAAAGCGACCATTATCGGTATTTGATGAAGACAAAGGTTCTGACGACTGGGAGAAAAGCAGTCTTCTCCTCCGCCCAAGGAAGAAGTATAATGGAAAGAGCGTTGAAGGGTGGCTGAACGATCGGAATGATTTGCCATAGGTGATATTGTCCAAATGGAAGCTGAACATGGAAGATGCACATAGGGTTTGAAGTGAGTGAATGAAGGAAAAGATGAAGATACTAAAGTCAAGTTGAAGAGGGTTGAAATCGAGTTTAGTTCGTCATGTAGAGATATTTGCATTGCGAAGCACTCCAAATCCCAGCACCTATCTTTATCTATTATTACAATCGTTGAGACCTCTTGGAAGTTGTACTGAGAAAATACAACTACACATTGCTGCGAATCTTTCAGCTACGCCGAATAGCTTTTCTAAAATAGTCTGATCATGACGCTTCGAACGCTTTCGGCAAAGTTTCCCGGGCTATTACGAGCATTCCACTCCATCAAGCGAAGACTTTCCGGACTGTCTACGGAGTTGTGAAACTCAAATCCGCTGCACCCCTGTGCTCTGTGCTACATGCTCTCTCCGTGCTTTCGCCCTGCAAGTTGGCGCCAGCTCCACCCCGCTCACCGCTACGTACTGCCACCCACGCTAGCACCTTTCCAAAAACAGCACATACTGCACAAATTACTGGAAAACTAGACAAGCACAAAGATAAACACCCGATTCTTGTTTTGCATACATGAGGCTGCTTTCCGCAGCTCAATGTAAGTCTACCACGCTCTGCTCATCGTGTTAGCTTTTTATTATTAGTATTCTTCTCATATCAGCCTTCGTTCTATAGAGCATACGAATTTCTAGCTATACCAGTTTTTCCTTTCCTGTTCTATAGAATTGCACCAGCTCCTTGCACTTTCTGCTCTACGATGCGATTGTATCAAGCCGCAACGCTAGATTAGCTCTAGAAATGGCCGTGTTTCATTCGGAAGCATCATGATGTTAATCGCGGCGAGGCGCAGGCGCTAACAGCTCGCGTTGTCGTGCTAGCAAGCGACGTCGTACGACTCCATGCTCCAGTGCAGCGCTAAATTATCGATTTCTGCTGTAAGTCAATATGCAAACATTCTAAATCACATGAAACAGGATAACTGTGCTGAATTACACATGCTCCTAGCGATGGAACAAAGGTCGTATACGGTGATTCAGAAAGCGATTGCTGCTGACGGCTGATGTACTAGACATAGCCATTGAAGACTGTTTTGCAGAATAGTTGTATTGGGTGGTGGTGAAAAGGGAAAGCTTTCATGATCTCATCATGTACTATAGTTATGTAGAGGCAGTCAATATATTGTTCGAAGGAGTAGGATCGCTTTCTCAAAAAAATTTAATGCTGAAGCTTACACGTGTCACTGAAATGTTACAAAGCACGTTTTCCAAACATCGTCCTTTATTGCGCTAGCTAATCTCACTTACCCATACGACATGTATCTCCCGAGTCCATTGCTGCGGCCAGAGTCGCCGCAGAAGCGGTTCTGGGTAGTCTTTCTTGCTGCTTTGGTCTCGATAATTGGGCAACACACCACGGCAAGGATGCAATTGGCCTTTTGCGACGCTTGCTAATCTTCAAAATTCAAGCTTCATGTCAGTTCAAACCACGTACACGGTGTTGGCGAACCGGTCCTTATGGCTTCAAGATATGACCATGTACCTAAGGATCTTCTCTGCTGTCCGCCAGATCCCCATATCCTTTCTAGGCTAGCACTTGAGGCTACTTGTTAATGTCCATTCAGAATCAGGAGGAGTATTGACATTCACTCAAATCTGTACATTTCACTCATCATATTTGGAGGAGGACGTGGATACCATATATTTTTTTTCCTAGAGCATCTCTATGTAGTCATATCCGTCTATAGAACGTGCATGATTGCAACTCGATGGCCATTGTTCTTCCTTCCATCAAATATAGGGATATTGAGGTTTCCCTTGTAACCTTCGTGGAAAAACCTTATTATCAATAAGGTCATTGGAGCTGAAATTCTGAGCGGCATGAGCGAATTTGCAATTCTCTACTGAACATGTTGTGTAAGAAATGCATTTTATTCGCTTGCAAGTGATGCGATCGCCTTCTTCGATACGGACTTTACAAGGAGGGCATATTCCAGCATTTGTACACTTCTCGTCTCCAGAATGCATCCAGCATTCGGTACAAATAGCCGTACGTGTATCTCGTCTAAGCGCAGATTGCCTAGCAGCAACAAGGGCGTTAAAACCTTCCCTCGTCCTTGAATGCTGGACAATGTTGTTATATCCATCATTGAAGTGGGCCTTGTCGCAATCACGAGGACAGAACCAGTTGTCTCTTGGTTCCTGAAAAGCCTCACAAGCGATCCTCACGCAGCGTAAGTTAGCTCCTGCGCAACTTTTGCATATCTCAGAATTGTTGTCGCAAATCTTTCCACTCGTCCAGCATTCGTGGCAAGGTACATGAGCTCGAAGTTCCGGAAAAGCGCGGAGGCGTTGTAGGAACTCTTTGGGAAGATTTGCAAACGTACAGGGGAAAGGGCCTGGGGCCACTCGCTGACGCCGGTAGCAATTACCACAGACGTAATCATCGTCGGGTAGTGTATACACGATCTCAGGGTTGAGAAACTTGCATTCGCCTTCCTTGGAGCAGCTGTCGCAGCAGAGCTTGACATCTTCAGCAATGAACCCCAACGACTCAATCAGCTCGCGGAGTGTGATCCCGCGATCGGATTCATTCACAATTATTTCCATAGCATATCGTTTGCGGGATCTAGGGTTGCGGAACTCCGCCTTTTCCAATGTCGTTTGGTAATCTTTGTTGAAATCGGTAACGAAAGGCAGGTCTTGCATGGTACGCGTTTGGGTCAAGCCTACTAAGATACGTTGGATGAAGCTTTTGGTGATTAGCATGAGAACCTTCAAAGTCGCGCGAAAACAGATAGAGTATGGATGATGGGCCCAAATCTTACCGGTAAGTTGGATGGCTCTTGCTGTCGTCAACAAGTGTCATGTCGCCATGATTCCATTGTCGCTGGAGCAGACCTGAGGGACCATTTATGGTAGTGATGAGCTCCGATTTGTTGGTAGAGAAAATATCGCTGAAAAACGAATGCACAGAATCATTGTCGAAGGTATGAAGCTTCTTGAAAGGCTCAGCTTCAGGCTTTAGGTAAGGCGAGGCAGGGAAGGAAAAGGCTTTTCCTTTGCTAGCTCTTCCTAATTCATGGTTTTGAATTCTGCCTTTGGTCCAGTTCCATTGTCTGGCTCTATCGACGTTCTCGCATGTTGTACATTTTCTTGGTTCTGGAAGCATTGTTGTTTGATAGGAAGGCATGAGAACAACCGTGTCTAGACAGGGCAGTTGGTCTGGGTCTTGAAACCCCCCAGTCATCACGATGAATACAAAGTCTTGGGCGGTACAGGCAGGATAAGACCAACCCATGTTCGTCGCCAGCTCGAAATACTGGGAGGTAGAGCTTATCGTGTCCGATATCGTATGTGGGATGAATGCGAGCAGAGTACATCTCTTTGAAGCCATTTCACTTCCTGTCAATGAAACAGGAATCAATCCAGATGACCGGTACAGCTCCTGGTCCTTGATGCTCCATGTATGCTCCAAAATGGCCGCATCCGCGCTCGGATGGTTATGAAGTAGTATACATGCATGTTGACGCAGATTACAACACTGCTTGTTGATCTTGGCTTGGAAAACGAGGCCCATCTGGGCTACCTTCACGGTATTGCGGTGGTTGTTGGCGTTGTTTTCATACGGTTCTTCGCCCTTGTTTGCAGACATCAGTTCGAATGAGTTGTCGTAAACATTGGCATTCCCCCACTTTTCCCGCAGTCTGGCTTTGGCAATTGGCCCATTGACTCTGATTATCCTCGCAAACTCCTCAGAGCTTCCTTCTTCTGACATGTCGATTGGATGGGGGTTTGTTTTCATAAAAACGGCATCTTCTTGTCCAGAGCGGGTAAAGATCACGAGATTCTCCCCTGTTTGCTTCAAGAGAAAATGCCAATTGTACTCAGGTTTCAGATAATCGAGTGGTAGCGAGAGCAGGCCGCCCTTATCGACAGAGAAGGACTTGTGCTCGATGTTGTATGACACATTATCTTGCTCGTCATATAAGAACATGTCGCATACTAGTGGTGCTACCGGATTGAGCTCCAAGCGCATCCTGGGAACGCCTTTCATGAACCCCCGTAAACGCTCTATAACATCCACGGAAGCATTGTGTTTCCAGTTGAGGACGGTAAGTAAGCCATCTGCCGTCTTGTCTGGGTCTGGTACAACCCAGCCATTGTATTTGACCCCATTGGTTGGGTTGACGTAAGTTGACTTTTGGAGTGAAGCATTAATAATGCGTGTGAGGGCTTTGTATATATCACTCTCGTGCACTGCGTATGGCGCCAACACATCGCTGAATACGAGTGCCTCATTCGGGGACAATTGAAACTGTCCATGCGCTACCGCATCCCATGTATTCCGCCTCAAGGTCCTGTAAATGCCACGCCAGCTGCGCATTGGGACAATACAGATATATTGCGGAAAGGCGTGAGATGTGACCATGTAAAATGGTACCCATTGCCCAGCCCTTGGGGGGCTCCAGCCGGCCTTGCAATCAAATCGATAAATTTGCAATGGCTGAGAGGTTCGGTTGTCCTTTTGTTGTCGCAACCATTCACATGCAGCCGTTAGGTCTTTGAACGGGAAGTCGCTTGGGGGGTTGACGATCAGCCCGCCATCTACGTTCCCATATTCAGGGCCTATATCATTAGCAGATTTTCAGGAGATTTTCTACGATGGGAGGCCAATTTACCTCGTATAAGACCAAGTTTCATCCCATTCTTGCCGAAGTTATCGGAAATAACTTTATGAAGGACTTCAAAAGTATTGTATTCTGCGAGCCATCCAAGGATGGGCGGGATACGATCTTTGACCGTACGTGGGGGCGCCATTGCGGCCCACAAACGGGGAATGTGACAACAAAGCGTTGGTACCTTCACTAGTAGCTCGCAGGTAGTGAATACCAGATGGAAATAGGAGCGCCGGGAGGGCAGTGGCTAGTTTACTCTTCAAAAACTGATTCTAGAAATGTCAGATTCGGTTAACCGATCGTCGATATCGTGGATCAACAGTCTGTTGGCGGGATTGACACAATAAGATGGACTATGTATTATCAAGTATCGCTCTCACGCACACTAGAGCAAGACAAAACTCGTCCATGTATTGCCTCAATGCAGTACCACACTTGTGAGCTCCCGATTCGAGATGTCATGATATAAACATCCTTGCGTGGTGGTACCATCGATTGTTACTAGTAGATTAATTACTTGGCAGGTAGTACCCTACTATGGTTGCATCCCGTAAGACGCTGGACAATGATGCAGCTTTGGCTCCATATCACTATACCCATCCCCTGCTGTGACTGCCAATACCCTGGCTGCTCCAGCTGCTGACTGATTTGGCTACACTGGCTGGCCATTCATCTGGCTCATTTAGCTGCCTATCCATTTGACTCCTCCGGCTAGTTGGCACGCTGCACGGGTGATTTGGCAGAAAATTTAGTGTTCATTGCGTGATTTAACGCTGTCCAATGAGGGAGGGTGAAGGTCTTGGCATAACAGCTGTGGCCAACGAAAGTAGAGGTTCCTAGAATTAACCTAATCGCATTTCTTCTTGCACGAAACACCACTAGGACTTATCACAGTATGCAGCTAAGCCAATAGCAGGAAGGCGACAGGATGGGACTGCGCTCCAAGCAAAAATAATACAATTGAGATGTTTCACCATAGTGTCAATGTATGTTATCATAATTGGTCGTATCGGGACCCAAAAATAGATGCTCCCATCCAGAGTCGAACTAGAGATCTTCGCATTGCAAGGTGGTACATACAAGTGCGACGCGTTACCACTGCGCCATAGGAGCAACTTTCATTCCAATTATATAGTTGGATATTTTATTTGATCCAACAAAAAATATAGTGCTTTATTAATTTGATCTGATCATGACGTCAATCGTGCCCAATCCTAAATGGTTGTCATTACTGTTTGTATAAGGCAACAAGGGTACGTTCCACCACCAACGAGATCTCGACCGATGTGATAGTTGACATATCTAATCCTTAAACTTACATGCTCTGTAGTACCCACAATATATTATTAGGTAGTGTGTACATCAGGGTTGAGTGTAGTTCAAGAACTAGGAAAATAGATCGACCGATCGTTTCTAGATTGCTGCAACTACTCTTAGTTGTGAAAACATACTCTTACTGCCCTGTAAGTTCCCTAGAGCCTATTCAAACATACCGACAAACATGTTCTGTCACATTCGTGTATGGTTTCCTACATAGCATATAACTACGTTCGCGCCAGCTTCCACACATGCCCATGCCATCGCTCTTTTCCGACCTCCCAGCCTACTACGGCTAACATTCTAATTTAACCTGGACTATCATCGCCCAGAATGTCGACCAAGCGTAAACGCCGTGTGACACGCTCAGGTACTGAGTGTCTCGAGCCAATTATGCAGGATCGGGACAACACAACCTCCTTGCATGACATTGCGACCGACCCTACACAAACCCTGTTGTCATTTCTACCAGAGGCATCAGATACACTATCTAAAACCAAACATTCCGACCTAATTGGCTCGTTTACACCTCTCTTCGTCTCAGAAAGTCAAGAGCAGCTATTGCTTCACGAGTTCGTACAGCGCTCTCCGCCAGACCACATAATCGCCGAATTTACCCGCCATATACAAACTGGCAAGCAGCTTTCATGGTTCCAGCAAGTTGTACCAGAGCTAAGACCTGGCGTTGAAGGTGACACTGAATGGTTGGAAGCCGCACGTGAGCTGCTGTGGAATGACGATCTCAGAGCGCAACACAAGGAACGCCACGAGAAAATGACCAAGTTGAACCAATCCATCTCACAACTACCTCCAGAGAATTATGAGTTACGACAATCTTGGTCATTCATCGTCAAGCTCCTACAACCAATAAGCCATCAAATGGCTGTCGCCTTGGACGGGGTTTCCCATCTGCTCGGAAGGAGCGATTGCCTGCTGTTGGACCCTGATGGAGAGTGGTTCCAAGCTCCGTATGGATGTATCCGATCAGAGCAGACCCATGTTGTTGTTCTACAAGCTTTACAGGATAAGATCCTCAGTCCAGTGATCGATGACTTAACCCAAAGCCTCAAAGACATCGACAATAAAGTCACGAATGATTCAGAATACTGCCCTGGTGTCACATCCGATGAAGATGATGGCAAGTTTTCTGGGCAGCAAAGTGAATCAGAGCGAACTCTTCAGCATATGTACAAACTGAGGGTAGCATTGCAAAGCGTACGAGGAATTATTGTGGTTGAGAAAGACGAATGCGATCGTGGTATAGCCAAGAGAGCTGGATTAAGCAGCGGTGAGTGGGCGCAAGCAGTTGTTGAGGGAAAGCAGAAACGAAATTACGGATACGAGAAGCCATGAAAAGATCAGACTTCGCTAATTTCAAATTAGCGGATATGGAGTAGATATTGGGAGATACATTTGAGGATGCAGGATGGAACTTCCAAAAGATTCGGATGGTACGTAGATAATGTTAAGACTGACTGAATATACACCACTTGTAGTTCCCTTGGCATGATGTGAAGAACCTTGGCCACAACAACGACCTAAAATTGCTTGAACAACGTAGATGGTACTACGACGAAACTGAAACGTGAAGAGAGAGCCATCGTAGTGCAGTCTCTTTGTTTCTTGAAAGCCGATTATAGCAGAGGGCCGGTCAGCTAAGAACAAGCTGTATCTGCATTTGAATAATGCATAGGCGACAAGGGAGGTGTTTCGTGCAAAGCATGTGATTAATGAGACAAGTGAAGTTGATCAGGACCAGTTTTCCTTCACTTTGTGTATAAAATTCACTTTGTACTCCCATCTTAGGAACCAGCGATCTTCGCATTGCCCGGTTTTGTTGAGGTACAAGTGCGACGCCTTACCACTTGGCCATACCGGCGATCGTGCTGAATTTTTGCAAGTTGGAAAAATTGGAAAATAAAATATTATTATAGCTCTCAACTAATGATTTGCAGCGCGTTATAGGACTAATCATATAGAATGTCACGCACATACGACCTTCATGTACACAGATTTAATTACTATGTGCTAATCTTAGCCACATTATCCACCAAAAACCTCCGCCACTCCTCATCACCCAACACACTCCTCACCCTCGCCTCCAACCACTCCGTATTACCCCAGAACCCCCAGCTGGCCTGGAACCGCAGCCAATCCACCAGCGCTATCTCCCAATGCCTCACAAAAGTAGCCCAGTCGTATTCTCGCTCACCGGTTGCGCACAGCTTCTCCCAGTAGCGACGCAAAAGCTTCTCTTCGCCTTCCTGCATCGGCAGCTCCTGCTGCACGTGTTTGTCTGCGACGAGCATGGCGAGCGGGACGGAGCAGGTAAAGTATTTTGCGAGATCGCAGACGCCGAGACCGAGGCCTGTGTATTGGAAGTCGTAGAATGCGACTTGGTCTCCTGACGTGCTTGTGAAGAGGTTTTCGGATTTAACGTCGCCGTGGATGAGGGTTTGGTATTTGGCTATTGAAGGGTTTTCTGGTGTTTTGGGTGCGAGAAAGAGGGCTGCCATTTCGGCGATGGAGAGGTCTTCGTCGTTTGTGCGGCGGGTGAGCGGGATGCCCCAGTCCGAGTGGTGATCCATGGCTAGAGAGGTGTACTCTTTTCGTCGTGTTGTGAGGTATGTGTAGCCACCGTTGAGCCAGACGCTCTTTTCCTCGGTGTCTTGGTCGTTGCGCTGGACTTCCTCGAGTGGAGGTAGGACAAGCGATGAGGGCGTCAGGGTTTGCACGCGCGACCACCAGAAGCCGTGGAAGCCGGAGAGCCAGTCCAATGCAGCAAAGACTTGGGTTTCCGAGAGCACTGCGCGTTTCTCACCCGCAATGGGATACTGCTGTTTGAGATCGCTTAGTAGCATGGCTGTTATCGAGGTACCGTCCTCGTTCTGCTTGTTGATGCTTGCCACGCATTTAGCAACAGGAAGTGAATCTGGCATCTGAGGCGCGAGGTGAGTGTAGAAGTACTGCTCTACTCTATAACTCAAAATCTTCCTCGTATGTCCCTCATCATCTGCCTTTGTCGGAGGAGGCGTAACAAGTTTGAGAACAAAAGATTGGTGTTCCGTGGAAGAGCCAGCCGATGCAGCATCCGGAACAGTATTGACTCGGCATATCTCGCCATACCCGGCCCATAATGACTGAATACGTTCGAGGGACTCGACTACCAACCCTTTTTCAGCGAGAAGGGTAGTCGCTACTTCCTGCGCTGATGGTTGTGCTGGCATTGCATGTATAGGAAGCTGTATGGGGGTATAGAGAATGTTGTACAAAAAGATGGCGATGCAAGGTACGACAAGGTAGAAGAGAAATTGCGGTGAAGGTATGGTCATTCGAGGAACGAGCTTGACGAATGAGAATCTCTGTAAGAAAAGAGAGTGACAGTGAGTTCGAACACGACTACATCCAGAGGTATTGAAGAACTGCAGTATTAAGGATGATGTTGATAGAAGCTGATTAACTTCGCATGTGAACAGCTGTATTCGCTGTTTTTGGCTACTACAGAGCTGACATAAGCATAAGCTGGTGTCCCCACATATTCCAGCGTGGCATCCGTCTTTCCATCAGCACTAAAATTCTAATCATGCCATTGTGAAAAGGTCAATTTTCCTTCAAGAAATGTAGAACATAAACATGAACCTGCGGTTTTGATCACAGCAAGTACTGAAAGTAGATATTCTCCCTGTCCGTCATGTCCTGGAGACCGTTCTCGCCGTGCACATCAGCGTCAGTCGCTTGTTGGTGTCCGCTCATGGAATAATCGACAGGGTTCCGCGGAAGACCAGCTGCCTCGCGATCGTCACACTTCTTCTTCTGCATCCACGTGATGACAAAAATTTGCAGAATCACGACGCCCCAGAGGATGCACCAAATCGCGAGAATACCTTTGAGAGCATTGTGCTAGATGATTGTCAATAAAGTGCCACTCGTATGTAAGATATATATGGCTGACTTACGTATTGTGGAGCGAACTTCTTATCGAAAATATATGGGGTAATTATATTACCAACGGCGTTTCCAGCGTTGAAAGAAGTATAATAAACGGCCTTCTTGGTTTGTCCGGCACAGTTTGCTCCCATCCAGGAAATGAGCAAAGGATTGATGGCATAAACAAATGCAATCAGGTAGTAGCCAGCGAGAAGTCCTCCTTTATTTTTCTTCTCTTTTGGAAGAGCAACAAGTAGAGAGACGCCGACAATGACGATAGTAACAAGGATAAGTAGGAATGGAGATTTGCGCTTGAAACGGTATGCCAGGTATGAAGCAAGAAGGATAGAGATAAACTGAAGTGCACCGAACGGCATGTTGAGCAAAACAGCTTCGTCTGGCGTGAAACCAGCCAAGTTTTGGAGAATGATGGCGCCAAAGACGGACGACACGGCAGCACCAGCGTTGACGGAGATGACCATGATCATGTATAGCCAGTACTTGGGCTCTGTCCAAGCCTCAAAGACGTGGGACCAGTTGAACTTATGCGAGATGATACCCTGTTGGTTTGCCTTGAGTCGTTCAATAGCCTTCAGGCGGTCTTCAGGCGAGAGGAAACGGGCTTCTCCAGGACTGTCGTGAGCCCACCAGTAAGTGATCAAGCCGATGCAAATAGTCAGCAGTCCAAAGAAGAGATAGACGATCTGATAGCGATATAGGTGATGAGAATGGATGCGACCAAACCCATAGACGATAGGAGCACTGATCAGAGTGCTAAGCCCATAACAACTATACCAGCATGCAACCCTGAAAGGCTGCTCAGAACGCCTGTAAAAGGCGATTGTGATCATCGAGAAGAGAGGAACGACTGCCGCTTCGAATGCGCCGAGGAAGAATCGAGATGCCATGAGTCCACCGTAGTTCTTTGATGCTGCAAGGCCACCAGCGACTGAGATGCCCCAGCATACAATGATGACTGGCAAGACATGGCGATATCGAAGCTTGACCAGGACCCATGCTGCCAAAGGCTGCACCCCGAGTTGTGCGTAGTAACCAATGTTTCCAATGTTGGAGTAATCGTTTCCTTCGAGATGCGCGTCGGTCTTGAGTCCATAAACAGCCGTCAAGCCAATGATTCCCTTGTCGGCGGACTGGAGGAAGTACACCATACAAAGGAGAGACAGCATCCAGATATCTGTCTTCCACAGGATGCGCTTGTTATCTTCATCGGTGCAGACAACAGTTTCCCCAGATAGTTGGGCCTTGCCTTCCTCGTAAGCAACGATACCGTCCATGGAAACCTTGGAGGTATGATCGGCGGCCTCTGACTTCTCAATAGCGGAAGCCATGGCGCTAGAAGGATTGCTAGAAAGAAACGAAGGAGTAAAGTAAGGTGGAGATGGGGTCAATCTGGGGTCATCGGTGTGGGGTAGTCGATTTATGTCTATCGACTTACCAGCACAGACCTTGCTGACACGGAAGAACGGGCGATACGGACAGAAGTTTTCCCTCCAACAAGGCGGTGGGCTAGGATCAAGGAGTATTAGGTTTTGTCGGACTCACTAGGGGTAGGGATACGACGCTAGTAGCATGGCCAATGATGATGCTATCAGACACCAACACCGACCGGCTAAATCAATATGGACTGGATGTATTCGTGATCCGTGGGGAATCCGCAGCGGATCAGGCCGGATCTTTAAGAAACGAGAACGGGCTTGCTTGTCGACGAGACGGAGATGATGGTGTCAGTGCTACGTGCGATGGACGCATGGTGCAAGCGGCCGGGACGATAGTAGGCCATGGAGTAGCGACCGGCAAGTGAACAAAGAGTCTCGGGACAGTGGCTTATGAGCAGATACACTCTGACAAGTGAGATGACTTGTGCTACCTGCCGACCCGTCCGGCCGCACTAACAATTGGTAGCGAAGACGTGATTACTGTTTACCCGCTGCGAGGATTACTAACTGTCTATTAATACTACTTTAGTACCCACAGTTCGCGTTCTTAGGTTCTTAACTTAAACCAACGTCCGACGTGTTGATGTCGAAAATAAGACTGCCATACACATACAAGACTCTCTTGACTGCAATAAGCTTTTTGCCAAGGGTGCACACGGGATCAGATGGACACACGTGGCTAGAGCAATTAACCGGCTGTGCCGCCGCATACTACGCCACCAATCTCTAATTCTCCGCTGCAATGACAAAGTCATCTCCCAATTCCGAGCATTTGCTTATTACGAGCAGCGATGGCCCGTTGAAGGCAAATGCCACGGAGCTGGGGCTGGAAGAGCAGGACGAGATGTTTTTCGATGAATTTCCCTTGACGAGAAGAGTGGGTTCACAGTAGCCGATGGATACGGACGGCACAGAAGCCTCGGCGCAAACCCACCCAGCGCAGAAATAATGCGGGGTAGACATCGGGACGCACGTAGTCGTGGCAGCTATTTCTTGTATATCGTGAAAAGAGTCTGTGTGCTATAGACTTGAAACAATCCGAATATTGACCAACAAAAGACTGTCGGTGCGTCAGCAAACACCATAGATCCCAAGAACACCGCCAGCCAGCGCCTGACTCAGATCAAAGATTTATTAACCATGGAAAAAACCGCCACGACCATTCCGTGGGATCCGGATAGCACCAAATTTCCTACGCGTAATGA